TATATATATATATAACAGAGCAAGATATAATAAGGCTGATTTAGCTATGGGGATGATTCAAACGAGATCATATTGAATATTACATTACTCTAGTAAAAACGTGCTGAAACGTGCTAAGAGGCGTACTGCGAACGCGATAAGTGACGAGTTACTTGAGCACTGTAGTCCGATCATAGCATAGAATAAACGAAATCGAACCCTGACATAATTGCTATTTGGGTTCTAATTATCTCTCTTAGCAATTCCACTTCTAGACTCTTCTGAGAGGCCATCGAAGTTAGAACTTGTTTAGCCGCTGGCCAGCCGTTAACGTTGTGCTTACTATCCTCAAGGGTCCATATTATCAATGAGCGGTAGGCATTTAGAGATGTTTCAAGTTAGCCACTATGTGCTAACGGATCCTCGTCGAACAGTAGATATGGCTAGCCATAGCGTTGTCTTACATAGTAACGCAGGATTCAGTTTATTACCATTTTCAACACGAAACCACTGCTTGCTATGGTTGGTAGCTGTAAAAGCTGGTTGTTTATTATATCATTACTCGACCACTCTCCATCTGTTGTGCATTTGACGATATGCTAGGCCTCCCTATACTGTTCATCATTCCGTGGGGAGTTCGTATGGAACTCGAGCTTCCCGGTAAAAATTGCTGGGAAGGTTATGGCAACCACTCATGGGTGTTTCTGCTCATCGCGCCTAGACTCATCGTTCTTGTCGTAAGTATGACGAACGTGGATTCACAAAATCTATCGTTACCTTACCATGTGTTGGTCAAGTGACATTTTGCTTATTGCTAAAATTATAGATCGAATTTATTTAACGGGCTTCCGTGCCGGAAGGTATTCTGTCGTTAAACCCAAACACAAATCGAACGTTTTGACAATATATTGTTATGCGCTCTTATTTAAACATCCATTATCAATCGGTCTGATGCTGGATCGGAACCACTTTTCTATAATGAGATTCTGTCATACACGGCAACGATCTCCGCCATTTTCGTACCTGTCAATTATGTCGTTCACAAAAACATCATTATGTGTGTTTGTGTATCGATTGCAGACTAATCTCGTGTTTCTAATCAACATCATCCGAATTCTTGTCATGAAAGCAAAAAATAATTCTGCAGAGAGCACTCAAGCCAGGTGAGAAACACAGACACCGCTCTTTACATTACTACCTCTTAAATGACCAAACGATCATGTTTGAAATGATAGTGCAGTTGAACACATAGAGTAACTGATGTAATGCGCTAAGAAGGAACCCTAATTTTTACGTGCTTTCCTCGGCTCCCTTCTTCTCCGTTCTGATCATACTGGATTGATTGATTTACGACGGCTAACCAAAGGAATCATTGAAATGCCAGCTAATAGAAGCCTAAATCATTAAATGGAGGCTTTGTGTAGATGTCAGCTAACGACTAGCACAAAACATGAAACCGAAGCACAACGCTGTGTCGTTCCTTCGTTCTTAACATTTGTAACATTTCTATATACACTAGGGAGAGGTAGCACCGGAGTGCAGTGGATTTCTGTCAATGCTATTTTCCTATGCGGCGGCAAGCAATACGCCTACTCTGCCGATCGAAATGTGTGGTTCGATTGTGGTCCGTAAGAGCGATTACCCTTGCTAGACAAGTACGATAATGACGTTTACACAAACGCTCCGACATGTTTGTGTTGAAGATTTGTTCACCCGTAAAAGGCGACGATCAATGCGGACCGTTTTTTCGACGTTGGAGAAGCATAACAGGCTCAGAGCTATAAAAAGAAGTGTCCTATCGAAGCGAACCTGTTTTAGGCGAAGGTGGCGAACATTTAGGAACGAGCCTATTCCTAAATAGGAGTAACCGGGTTATGCTGGCCAGCTAATTAAATAATGCCAGCACATACTGTGGAAGCTCACTTTGTTTATCTGTAAAACTGTGAACACATCACATGCATGTCTTTATATCAAATAAAACCCAGTTATACCATAAACGGTTGTCAATCATTTGCACCCTATTGTTAACGTATATACATGTAGGTTACTATATACATACGTCATATATTCTTGCATTGTCCCCCTATATTCTTATTGTGCCGTACATACCGTTGGTGAGCGCACAACACTACAAGCACAACTGGGATTTTGTTCGCAGAACCAATAGGTAAGAATTACAAATAAACACATGACCGTTAGGTAATCGATGATTGTAGTAGGTTGAATGTCTGAAACATTGGTTTTTGTGTATTAAAAATCCGTACATAATTTACGTAAGTAGACCTAAGTAGGCGCTGAGTTTCGCTTGCGATCTTCAAACAACCACCACTCACAGATAGCGGGTGCGAAAAATTGGTGCAAAAAGCAGCTTGTTTCAATCTACCATCGAAATGTAATGCACTCCGCGGGAATCCGAAGACTTCTTCGTCCCTTACCGTTCTTCTAACATCTCTCTTCGCCTTCGCATTCTTATGCGTGTTGAACTTTTGCCACGTTAGCATTGTGAATAGACCCTCATCTGCGTAGCAATGATAAGAAATATCCTGTAGAAATTTCTGCTACTAACATTGTGTCCACGCGTTATATTCTCATACACTAAACATACTGAAAAACGCTGTATAAAAGTTGAACTAGCTTGTCACGGTACCGGAATACTGGTGACTGTTTAGCAACGCACGAAATCAAAGAAAAAGTAGATAGTTGATAGACTATCGGCTAGGAACCTGCTTTTTGCTTTACGGGTGAGATAGCTTTTTGCGAGAGGAAGAGAGAGGGGCTTAAAATAGAGAACGCAAGACTTGCCGAGTTTAGTCAAAAAAGCCATGGGATAGGGCAGGGTACGGCATAATGCCCCAACAAAGTTCAAACTTGTCTGCTTCTTTGAGATTCTTTATCCGGAAGGTTCTCCGATAGACACGAACCCTATGGAGCAACTACGGAGACACTGACTAAAATTCTACTTTACCCGCGCAGTCACATAGGCTCTGGGATTGACAGTAGGCCAAATATCGAGAGAACGAATTAAAATTTTGTCCCCGCGTTCCATAAACAGAACAGACAATAGCAATTCGTCTGTTCACTTAGTGAAAGTACGACTACAAAAGAGGGTTGAGTCTATCATTGTCAGCCGCTGACTTTGCAAGCAAATCGGAAGCGCGATTCATTACTTTGGTGGGTTCTTTTAGAAAGATTAAAAATGGTGATATTTTGACTTCGGCCGTTTGAAACTGACAAAATTGGATGTGTCTGTTAATCGTGCTCGAGTACAGTTATGTTTCATAGGTGTAGGCGTGTCGACGGATATAGGCGGCAAGTTAGCAAAATTAACTTGGTTTTGGTTTATCCTCCCAATCAGCAGAAGTGGCTGGAAGCCAAGTTGGAAGGAACACTCGTTTCTACGTTAGTCTTCAGCCGCAATCAGTGTACGACAGAAAACGTTACTTTGCAAGTTGTGTTGAACTCATTACGCTTATCGTATACATAAACTGATAGCTATTCCTACCTGCTTAAATGCAAATTTTATGGATGTCTTCGAAGCTTATCGCTCACGGTTTATTTCTACGAGTATTTTGCTAGCTCTCTCATTTTTATGTATGAACCATACGCAGTGGTCTTCAATAAAAAAAAAAACAGCTAATTTACCAGCAATCGTCAAGTAACTTCAGCAGTATACTGATGCGCCCGCAGCGTTCGCTTCCATAAGCTAACTTACGAGCGTAAACGTCATTCATATTTTATTCATTGCTAGTTTCTTGAGAAGTTCCGTTTTCGCATTGTAGCAGGCCCATTGACTCCAACCTAAATATTCCACATTCATTCATGATTCTGTTATTCCATGTCACAGCTGAACGCGTTTAACCTTATTGATACGCATTGTAATATATAAAAAAAAACCTTTCTATTATATATATATATATAAGAAAACTTATATTCTCTTTTGTTCATTGTTTGAAAAAACGACAAACCCTACTCTTGTAACGTTAGTAGTTTATGATTAGTTGTAAGCTATCTCCGCGCTGTTTTTTTTCAGGAATAGATACCCCGCGGTATTATCTAGCGATGATGATAATATGAATGCCTATATTATATAGATAATAAGCTAATTTACCAAAATTTTTACCGTTGGACAGTATTCCGTTGTTGAACTTTACCATGTGCATGGTGCCTGCTACTTTAGTCTAATGGAATCGGTGTAGAACTTATCGAGGAAACGTTATAGTTTCAGGGCTATTTACATATATATATATATGTTTACTTTGGACTCGCACAAAGTAAACGTTACGGAATTCTTTGCCCCTTTATGGTGCCTTCAAATTGTGATTGAAAGCCTTGAAAGTTCTGGCTTCTTCTTTCCTTCTGGCCTTTTGATTAGTCGAAACTAACCTGGTTCGTTGTAGGCTTGCTCAGTGCAAAATTGAATCCTATTTACCGTCTCAGGCTAACTAGCAGGTTTTAAAGTGAATTTTGCGGCGAGGATTTTACATAGACGTTCTTGCTGTAAAAGCTACACTGTAATCACCTACTTAAGACGTCTGAAAAAAAATCCGACTTGCTCCATCTATGTTCATAAATTTGTATTGGAATCGGTTTAGAGTTATTGTATCTCGTTGTCAAAATTATCAATCTTGCGGGAGTACTGCAGAATGAGCTAAGGGCAATGTTTAGCAGGTTGAAAAGAAATTCTGATGTACTAAGCCCAGCTGTTAAAGTATTTTCCATGTTGACGGAGTAGCTCTGAAACTTAGGAGGAGCAATGATGGCAATTACGGATGCTTAAAACGAAAATGTCAAAGTGCATCATTTATCCACTTTGCCAAATTGTGCATATTTTTGAGGAACATCGGCTGTTGGCAGAAAATCTGGTCGGCACATTTTTCGCTAGCGTGCGGCGCCGGTATGGAACGTACTTCCGTGCATCCGAGTCGGCGGCAAAAAAGATAGTAATTATTAAACGAGAACTTTCATAGAGTGGTAAACTACTTTCAACATTTGTTAGAAATGTTATTTATGCGTATATACCTGTGCCATCAATATAAAAGTAAGCAAAAGCACTGTTTCAACGTAGCTCTTTAATAAATCATAATTCCAATTTGAATGGTTCATCATTTACTATTGAAGAAAACTCTGTCGGCCATTTCTTATTTAGTGAGCTACAAATTTTTCAAAGCCTTCCAAGTTATGATTATTTAAGGTAAGTTGATAGTAAATTTCAGACGAATGGGGTACATTTTGCACAATAAGTAATAATTTCCATCCTTTTCAAGTGACAAGGACGAGATTGTTAAAACCTGAATAGTTTTACCGTCATTTTAGCAATAGCTGTTATAATATTCAGTGTTCGGTTGTTTTCTATCCAGCTTTCTATTCTACAAAACCTTCCAATTCTATAATTTACAAGTGAAGGTTGTTCTACTTTCCTGCAGCGGCCTACTTTGGACCGTGGTCCAATACATTTACCATCTAGGCATTCCTACACTTGGAAATAAGCATTCTACTACGTCTAAGATTTCTGTCGCTTGCAACGCTTAAATGTATAAAACATAACTTCCCAAGGAACCGTTCAAGAACGTCGGTTCTATGCGCTTTAATAGACTGTGAATTTTACACATTTTTTGCTAGATGCGAACCTTTGAAGTTAATTGAGCCTAGCGAGCGTCAACTAGACGTTTCAAGTTGGGCACGGTCGTTAGGACGCACGAATTCAGACCCAGATCACCACGTGTCCCCAAGATTAGCAGAAAACACGTGACCTACTAGGCTACGATGAAGGTCACCGAGGGTCAACAACAACTCGAACTACATCACTTTAAACTGCCATTCAACAATTTTCTCTAAATTACTCGCCTTCCCCGTTGAATAGCCGACCTACACTGCAGTATAATAATGTTATTTAGACCAATGAAGGTAGAAGAATTATACACTGAGACAAAAAAGAGAACATCATGATCATGAAACAATCATGCGATTATTACCTCACATTTTAACGTGACTGAAATAACCAAAATGCTAAACATTTAACACCCCTGGCATGTGCAATGGCAAAACAAGGACAGCTGCTGGAATAACTGAACAGAGACGACCTCGTCACGGAGGACAATACGGGCTTACTTTAGATACGCTTATTATGAACTAAAGCAAACGAATCTTTTGCCTACATGGAATAGAAGGGGCGTTTGGTTATTTTTTTAACTCAATGATCACCCCTACGCACTGATCGGCTGGATAACTGGGAAAAGCTGCTCTGTAACATTTTAAATCACCTCTTTTGGATACGAGGTGTTTTCCTGGGGTGGCAGGAAAACATTGCTCAATATTATCCGGCAATACATAATTGCCTTCTTCGCTTTCTCATCAGCGCCACCTACCTCCATTTTTTATACGATCTGTGAAATGCCAGAAAAGCTCATACCTATTCAAGCTTTAGCCTTTCATTCAACGCATAATATGGCGCAAAGAAAAAAAACGAAATTATCCGTCTTTCGGCAGGCTTCAGGATGTGATGGGTTGCCGATGTCAACTTTATCTATTGTGTTTAACTTACACATATCGTTCGAACTCGTAGAACAGATCGGCTATAACTTAAATAGCAATACGTGTCAACTGTTATCCGGTTAGTCAAATTTTCCTACCCACCTTTCCCAGGGGTAGCAATATTATGGCGTATAATAACTTACGTGGACGATCATTTTATGAACCATCTTATAACATTAGCGGCTCGTATAGTAAAGCGATTTGTTGTAAATGTACATATACATAAACAAGTGTTTGGAATGCTATTTGACAAAGGTAAGTAGTGGATAACAGTTGACACGTATTGTTGTCAAAGTTATAATCAATCTGTTTTATATACAACAAGTTGGTATTCTAAGCTTTATACGTTATCCTATACTATACAAGTCGCTAAAGCTAATGTCGTAAGACAATCTATAAAATGACAGGTCTATCGTCTGTGTGATTTATTTACTTACTTACTTGGGACCTACCAATATACATTATACACCATGATACTTCCATTCTTTGGCCAAGTACTGGATTGGGCTGCCCCAGAAGAGAACTTACGAGCAGGGAGCGACGTGACACACATTACCACGTTGTCTACACTTTGTCCGTCATGGTTCCCGTTTGATAGATAGAATTCAGAGAATTTTCGGTCCTATTTTACCAGGCTTTTCCGGAGTGGTGTAATTGACGATATGTTGCAATGGCGATGTAGGCTCTCGGTGAACAGATAGACTTACGAATTGTGTGGTCAACTCAGTTGCCCTGAAGCTCTTTTGAGGAACGACGCTTACCCTAGGTTCAAACGCTCGATATTTTCCAGATTCCATTCAATTTGAATTAAGCTTAGCCCGTACGAGGCGGCTGGCACAACTTTAGGTTGAAATGTCACAGAGAGAGGTATAATCAGTGGGGGGTAAACATCGAGGACGAACCTATTAACGTCTTTCCGCGTATTTTAGTAATATGCTGGAAGAAACTTTAGCTGTTATATGTGATCACAACCTTAGGTAAGTGAATCGATCAACGTATATCAACGGGCGGTCCGAGTTGCGGCACGTTACGTGTCACAAGCTAATAATTCTATCATCTCTTTTGAATCTCGTTGCTTTGGTTATCGGTCTCAGTTCCGTAGAGGCGAAATGCTCTTTGGCTCCATTGCGCATGAATGCGATTGCTTGGCAGCGACTAAATTGGCTGCGTAGAGGAAAATCTTTTTCTTATTTCTGAGCCTACATATCTTGTCTGAAAAGTCAATTAAGCGAGAGTACAAAAAGAAGAAGACTCAAATTATTATTCTGGACCTGGGGGATGCTGTCAGAGCCGAAACCGCATCATCAATTGTGACCCGATTTTTCCTAAGTATCGCTGTCGTCAAATCGAGCACATTCGTAGGAACTTAACGAGGATGCTTGCAACCAAATTTTTTGGGGCGGAATTAAAGGCAGCTTCGAAGTCTGCAAAGACGGCCCAAGTCTACCTTCAAGATGGCTGTTTGCTCACTAACAGCCAACTGAAATTGTCTCTCTGTTTTTCAAATATATATTATCTGCGTGCACTGATTCATGATGCTGTAATATGCCCGCCCTTTTTGGTAGACCGAATATTTCGGATTTTATTACCACCGCCACTGATTCGACCTTCTCAAAATGAAGGAATGGCTGGTTGACGCAGTGAAACCTGTTCTCACTTACTTTTGACCCGTCAGGGGTGAATTTGATACGGATGTTTCTCTAGCTCCTGCTTGCTGGCAAGTCATCAAATTTACGACCCCTAAATACACATTTAGATGGGGGCCTATCATTCGATGCAACTAGAACACCAAATTAGCGACTACCTCTAGAGCTAGAAGACGAATCAATATGCATAGCAAAAAAGAAAATAAATAAAATTTTCTATGTTCATTTACTCAGTGGAAAGTGGTGTCTTCAGTGAATATGTTCCTCTACACGGTATTTCCTTTAGATCTTGAATAGTCCTCTCAATCAATGAGTTCTGTTTTGAAGCTCAACAGTCTTGCATGTTTTTTTTTTTTTACCTAGGATGAATAGTTGTTCTCTGTCCACATTGATAAAGTCCTATATTATCTCTTTCCGCCCACCTGTGACCTTACAAAATTTAATATCCAACTGGTGACAACGGTTCTGACCTTCCATTAGCCGCGTTTTTGTTCCCATAATGTTGGACGTCTCCGCTTTAATGGTCAAAGCTTTATTATGTGGAAAGTCTTGCCAAGACAGATTCCCACCACCGAGTCTACTTTCAAGAGTATTTTTTTCATACTTCAGTATATAAAAGTATTCCTACGTACGATTAGAGAGTCACATTGGTTTTTCATGATGATTACATTCTCAATTGCTTAAGGATGCTTACTAAGAAGGACAAGACGTTTCATTTCAGTTAAACGTGTTTTGCGACTTTATCAATCAAACACCTTCACCTAAACTATGTTATTTTCCCTTTGAAAATTTGCCACATGAATATTGTAATTATATGTAGTATTTTGACGAACCCTGAATTTGTTTGAACGGTTTGCCGAGTTTTTTTATACTTGAAGCAGCTACACTCTCGCACACAACGATAAGATTTGCACATGAAAGCTCTGTCACTATCGAATTTATAGCTTGTGGGCATTTTTGCTTGATTGAATACATGCTACAAGTTTGTGTGGGCACAACTTTTTTGTAGGCCTGCTTAACCTTAGTAGAGAATAGTACATGTTTAAAAACGCAATTGGCAATAAGCCCTCGGCTGAGGAATTTTTGATACTCGTAATTTTAAGAAAACAGCCAATTGCACGGGAAGACACTGACTTTCGTGAAGCATAATGGTGTTAGATAAGGGATTTAAGTAACAAGGCAAACTTCATACAACAAAGCTCACGCCGATTGGAGAGCTGACCTGCCTCACGCGAGCCTTTAAGTCAGATACATTTAAAATACCGCCGTCAATAACGTGTTTTCTATAATTCCGATGATTGCTGTGAATTCTTTAATCTCTCACATGTAGGAAAGCAATAAAAGCTACTCTTCTGCTGTTTCCTTTGTTGGGAATCACGCATTTGCTGTTTTGTATTAATCCGCACGAGAATGATGTCACGCTCAAGAACACCTATATGATTGTCAACGCGCTTCTACAGTCGTCGCAGGTAGGTGAACCTCACTGTCAAGCTTTGTACATTGAATGAAAAGGAAAATGAATTTTTCTTGGCGAAACCCAACTTATAAAGCACATACAAAACGATCGGATCCCTTAATGAGCCGAGTATGACAGGTATTCTTAGGCAAGAAAAAATCGACTTTGCAACATGAAAACAACGTGCTAATGGTCGCGTTGACCTCGCCCTACCGTGATCCCCGTCAAGTTTTTCCTGTGTAAGAAGATTCTGTGTACAACGGTCTATGTCAACTTTGATTAAAATGAAAAAGCCGACTCCTTTTATATCAACAATAAATAATAGAACTAATTAGTTTTCTTTGTGCTACAACTACCGGTGAACCTGGACTGCACGTTCAAGCTGGATTTGGCAGGTCTTGCCATCTGAAAAGTTTCTGCAACAGAAACATGTAGTGAGATAGACTTGAGTCGTCTTGTACGAAATTGTCTTTTGTACGTTTTGTACGTCACGGATTTTCAGAGACGTGTCATCAAATTGTCGGAAACATAAAAAAGACCCAAAATATAGGTTTAGCTAATAAATAAAAATTACTTAAGCCCTTTTATCCGTATGTATATTTGCTTTCAACCTAGAAAAAGCTTGCGGCGTTTCCCGATGGACTTTTTAAATCGTAGAAGCAGGAAATTTCATTCAAAATGGCCGAAAACATAGACTTAGGCCCTTCTGTACAAAGGCCTTTCTTATATATTTGTTTACTTTTATCTTTACCAGGTACTTTCTGTAGAGCCATTGTTATGTGCAGCACTGTTGGGTAAGGCGTTTCGGATTTTGTCGGGAGACCTTTCTTATGAACCAAACGTTTGATTCCACATAACTATTTTTTGATTATCGTCAGAATAGTTAGCCCGATGTCTGCAGCGCCGTTGCGTCGAAAATTTCCATTTTACATATGTACAAATACATGTTGCTTGCTGAATCACTGATTTATAAGTGATACAAAAACAGGTTAGAAAAATAGATTAGATAATACTGTTGCAAAGCTCAAGTCTTGAACGGCTACATCCGAGAATCTCGTTGACTGGCGACACAACAGCTTCCCCCAAGGACTTCTTCCAGATTAGTCAGAAGTATAAGCGGATACGCCGTAAATTCCCTTATCGTTAGGAGCGCTGAATAGATTAGTGAATAATTTGTGATTTTCAAAAGGTTTCCAACCGCAATTTTTTTGAGATTTTAAAAGGGACGCCTATGTGGACTATGCATGGAAGTTACGGAGGAAAACACGGACAAATTTTATAAATTACGTACTGTAGTTCAAACAATTCAGCAAACAATAGTTTAGCTTTATTTTAATATTATGAAAATAATATTTTAACATTAGTAAGATATAAGGGGCGGAATGTTAAGGCTGAACCATAGATCTATCTATATACGTAAGGCATTCACCGTGTGACAGATCAATCAGTTAGATGTGCTAGTAGAAACAAATGCATCATCTCAAGGTAATCAGTGGTTCTAAAAGGGTTCTGTAAATAAATCGACGCCAATATTTCGAGGTCTTCCATAGTTAATATGCTGTCTATTCAGCATCGCGCTATCCTAAACAAGACTTATCGTTTGCATTTTTGCGTCACCGGTAGGCATATACGTAATAGAGGCACTCGTTAGCAGGACTTGCCCGGTCGGAAAGCAAGCTTATATAGAAAACACCTCGTCGTTCCCGGTGGTAATTCCTTATCATTGTTTTTTTTTGAGCGAAATTGCATACACGTCATGCTGCTGTCGATATAGAAATATATATTCATATATCGGCCTTTATAAATTCGAATATTGCGCTGGTATTAGCACCTTACCGAGTGCCACTTGAAAATATTGGGTTTTGCTGCCGGATCGAACAAGGGTAACCGTCACAATCGATTTAATTTTATATGGAGAAATTTTACTTTTCTCCTTCATATTCGAGTAGCAAGTTTCATTTTGAATAGGACAGTCCTGATCTGCACTAGTGCATCAGACAGGCGTCGTTTTATTTCTCTGTCCCGAGATCTGTATCATCGTCCCTAATGCCAGTTAAGCCACGCTCTTCACCCAATCTAACGAAACGGATACACGACCCCCGGTACCAGCCGAATATAGTCCGAAGTGTACATTTACTATCCCCAATTTTATAGTAGCTTATGGCTCTATGCATTTCTCTACCACGAATAGGGCCTACGGTAGCTCCCGCGCGGCTCCTTTTTAAGCGAGCTGATTAAATAGGCCGCTTATTTAACTGTGAAGACCGCAACAAAACTCTTATCTGAGATTGGGCTCATGGAACATATTTGCTAAAGGGAACAACATACTCGTGAATTATACAAAACGGAGTTTTTTTTTGTATCGATCAGAAATCACGTCGCTTGAAGTCGACGGAATAAAAGTTAGTAGCGGTGCGAACTTGCCCGACACAAAATATGGAACTTTGTAATAAATAGTCGATTCTCTAGAAAGAAGTTTCCCTAATCGCCATTCGAAGATTTCTTTCGCATGACGCTAACGGCGTCCCACCACAAGTTAAGGAAGTAACACCGAAGCAAGTTTCCAAAACATAAAGGTCAATCGAGTTCGGCCGGGCAGGATTACGCCAATTTCTGCGAACGTTTGCCTGCGCTTGGGGGTTCCGTACTGCGATTTGTTCATTTGGTGGGATTGATAGAAAATCATGTCTTATACACATATGTTTATTTCGTTATGGAGAACGATCCAGATTCGCGCTAATTTGGGCCGCATAAAATTGAGACTCGGGTAACGCCGGATGTTTTGAGTTAGAATTGAGACATACGCGTCTTAAGCATGTCATCGTGTCGGGCAGTGTACCTCACATTGTATTGAGATCAATATTCTGTAATCGGCCGATACTCCATGATTTGGTTACTAATTTATGATTTCGGGGCTAATTGTGCGCTATAATGACATTATCTGTTTAAGTTTTAAAAGAACTTAATGCGCAGATAACATTTTATGATCTACTTGAACTGCGCATGGACTTAGCGGGTACGTGTTTTATTAATACAATCAAATGTAATTTTCCTACTAATGAATTACGGTTCCCTAATAGATTCGTATCGTACAGGTAAAGCCCGAATAGGTACGTATCGCAAATTTTTCTTCATTTACGTTGGGTAACTTAGCCAGTAGTAGTCAGTTGATTTTTTACAGCCCGTGTGTAGCAGCGGACATAGGAGCACTTATTGACGGTATGAGCATCGGCGCGTTTGGTAATCAATGTTGCTTAGCCTTTTAAAGATGAAACTCCAAGACCTGACTGTGAATGGAAACTACCGATATGACGCCTGTGTCCCGCCAAGTGGTCTTGCAGGTCTGTTCATTAACTATTCTATAGAATATTACTTAGAATCAAATCACACTGCCACTGATGTCTAGCCTTGCGGAAATTTCTAATATATTCAGTGTCTATTGGACATTAAACTAATTGGTTGTAATTAAGCCAAATGTTGGCATCGAAGTTTGGTCTAAATAAACGCTACTGTACATGGAACTCTATTCCATTCTGGAAAATATGCTAAAGGCCGATCTAATAGCTTCGTTTGCTCTAAACTTAGCCCCCCACTAACCTTCTGAAGTTCGTATTACCAAGCTAACTTTTTATTAGCCTAAAGAGTAACTACTGGAGAAAACTTTTTGGTAGTACAGCGCGAGGTAAGTACTGGAGGCTCTTCCTGGTAAACTTGTCTGTAACCGTGTGCGATATAACGGGACATCTATCGCATCGGTGGCGTTCATAAACGGCTTGCAAGCACTGATGATAATTATCGGGGGTAAACGACTATGATCGAACAGTGCAAACTCCACTCCGAAAATGATCAAAATGCAATGCCCTGCTAAAGTGGATCGCGTGTCATATACAAGTGCAGATCAGGAAGTATCGCTTACGTCCGTCAGCAAAAAAACATCAGTGGCATTGTTCAATGGCCAACTGGACCGATACACGTAAATGTAGAAGGGCCTAAATAGGTGGTTAACATATCAAACAATTTGGTGTTTCATGTCCAGTTACCTCACTCATTCAGATTAGGCGACTGCTCATAGTTTCTAGAATCGGACCCTAGGGATCCGCTCTGGAACTACAAGAAACATATATGACTAGGCTACACGAATATTTTAGAAGCTTACCCCTTGCTTGTTACTTCGGATTACAAATTATTTGGGCGGTCGTTATTACACAGCTCATATATAATATAATTGCGCATATAGTCTATTCTTTCCCTGTCAGTCCCTGATGGAGACACCTAAAGCGGGCTTATGGTTACCTACTAGGGTTTCCAAACCTCCATAGGTTTCCATTCAACAGAGAGCACATCCTGCTTTGCACTCGGAGAACGCAATCAGTCTCGATTTTTTTTTTTTAGTAAGTACGCAAGACATATCTAAATAAGTTCTCCTACTCTTTCCAAGGGAAATGATCAAGCAAACAAAAGAACTGGTACACGACACGTAAACGTACCGCATGCAGGTTTTCTAGTAGACATTTTACAAAATTTTAATCATTTCAATAAATCGCAAAATAAGCTTTGCTTAATCCATAGCCATGTACCGCAAGAAAATAACGTGCCCTGAATACCCGATACTCATTTTTGAGGGAAAGCTGTAGTTCTGGCTACTCACTATATTATATGTGGCTGACTGGCAGAGCTCAATACTCCCACATCGGAAAACTTAGTTTCTGCGCAAATACATCCTTTTAATTGGGCATCTCTAGAAAAATTAATCAATCGAAGATGTACCCTTTTGAGTCGTCTAAATTTAAGTGTCGAAAGGCAACAAACTGAACCAGCAGCCGACCATTTGTTATTCCAACCTTTACGCGCCTTATGTACGCTGACCAGTATATCTTCAGTATTTTATCCTCTCGTATGAAATGAAGCTAACCATTTCTCCTTTAAACTGCCGATCCTATTTTTCATGGCACGCAGATTCTCAGTATTCATAGTATATAGAGATGTTCCCATATTGCCATCTTATACGTATATTAATGTGGTAAAAACTTGTCTGGACGCAGGACATTTTAAAATCGTTAATAGTATATAGTAGTATGAATATAAAGCATATCAAACCAGTTCCTGACTACGTGACTGGATACGGGTAACGCAATAGAGGTGTGCGGGTAGCTTAAACGAGCACGTATCTTATGTTCAAGCAGCTCTAGCAGTTAAAGCTTGACTTTAACTAGCGAAGCTTTATCTGTATGAGATTTAAAGGTTAAATAGCCCTGTCTATTTGGGACAGATACACACTCGTGTGTGATAGATTGCGTAAATAAATTTGCTATCGTAGGTATCTATTTTAGCGGTAAGTTATCAAAGCTCCGCTCGCCACGCTTACATATACCGAGCACTTTACTAAACATATATGTGCTTGAATGACAAAAGTAGAACGAAACTAGAAAACGTATTTTCAAACCTACCTAACACCAGCAATGAAATCTAAAAATACGATATTTTCACCGATCCAATCGCCGAAAATTCGGACATTCATTTTACATGATACCACAACACTGGACGGTCCTGCTCAGAGTTGTTATACGAATACATAGACTAACTGGTTGTGAGGATACCGAAACCTCTGGAAAACTAGTGGAAAAAATATGTTATCTCGAATTGCGATAATGCGATAAGCCGTAGATCTGTAGTTATCGGAGTCATCGAAAATCAAAACGTATGTGATAAGAAGCATGCTAAGCAGATAGCAAGCAGCGATGCGGACGGCTCGTATGCAACACTAGCAGCCGAGTCTGTCTTAGCTAAATACCGAGAATCAAAAGAAGCGTCTGTCATATGTAATTCTGTTCGAAGATAAGGTTCAAGGCTCCAGTCCTAGCCTATCTAGCCCTTTTCTCAGGAATCCTAAGGCATGTTTTTCTGTTAAATTGCGAACTCCCGCTATTTTCCTTGGTTCTTCAAATATACCTCTGAGTTTGCAGCTGAGTGGCCATTATAACTAGTTCGTATGGGAAAGTTCTTTGCCATCTTTGTGAAACGTAAAAGAAATGACCAGCCTGTGTGCGAGATTTTTGCCTGTGTCACAATGTGTAAGCTTTGATGTCGAACTAACTGGACGGATTCAATCAATAAATTTTAGATTTGGCGGTGTGCAAATATTTCTGCAGTGCTATTTCTGAAAGGCAGTACGCTTGGCTTTCACGGAAAAAACAATATATATATATGTACATTGTATGAAAATATATATCTTGTCAACGTAGTAACACGCGATGATTGCATATTGTTTTTGAGTAATTATTTTCTTTATCACTGAGGTAGGTATGTCCGATCAAACTGGATGGCTGAGTACTTCTGGAGACCATTGTAAGTTAATAGTACGACAGGTGATTTTTCAGCGACTTCTGCAAATAAAATTTTCCGTAAAATAATTGGATAGATCAAACGCTTATCTAAAGATGCGTAATTGTACTGCATGCATAAATGCAATAAGCCTAAAGAAGCCTTTGTTATGTACTGACTGAAGTTTTATTTTTTGTAGGGAACATTTGTGTCAGTGATACATTGCTTCATGAACTCGGAGGTAAGTAGGACCATTTCAAGTCATGGCAGTACAGATTTCATATGAAAAATAAATTTTTTGCTAAAATTTACATAGTAAGGATAATGTGGACGCTCTGGAAAAGTTACTCTGAAAACAAATAACGTTTATTAACTTGCTTTTTTTGCTCAAGAAACTATATATTGATTGAGTCAAGAAAGCATGCGTTCTTCCATGAGGTGTATTATACGATTATATACGGAGCGCTAATTATAAGGGCCATAGGACGCACCCCATGTGCATAATTACTGGCTGAATGAAGCTTCCATCAAATGCCTCAGCTCAAGACGTTAATATTTCTATTTTAGTGATCATTAATATAATTGCTAATGGACGAACGACTCATTAGCGATTGTAAAATTAAGAGATAACTTTAATTACTTTCATGCAAAATATGCCTTTTAAAAATAAACTGGTAGTAAAGAATACAGAACTAGCGTAGCTGCGAGGATCCTCAAAATGTTTTAATATCGGCGAACAAACTTAAGCAATATGGAAAAAAAGTGCTATCTTCACTTATACCAGCTCACTGAGGAAAATATCCCTTGGTCCTGTGCTGAACTTACTTTACGCCGTATACAAGTCTCTAAGTATGGGTACCACGTCCAGCTTGTAAATATGGATGGGTACTCATTTTTTTCTTATTCTTGAGAGACACCAGACTTTAACAGTAGCGGGCTGATAAACCTGCCAGCAAGCACAATATGTACGTCTAGAATTGCTTCAGTGTAACGTAGCGTTCTCTATTTTAGTGCTTGTATATGTTATTTATGGCAGTAGAAACAATAACCTATTGAGAGTTGTTTAGCCAACATGGCCTCGAGATGTTTTTACGGAAGTTTTGTCTGTTAATATCTGTTGCGGTTTTCTAACACTATTGCCAGGGGTGTAGCCAATTACGTTCTTCTTGCGTTTTTCTTTAATACCGATATCGAACGATACCACTTTTTCCGAGTTTCGATGAGCAAGAGCCTTGAAACTGTTGTGTGGTAGAGAAGTACGCTTCAGTAGAAAACCGAAATTCTGACAGTAACTGAACATGGATTGTTACGAACTGTCTCTCAAAATATGGGTCCATTACTTCAACATAATTCATTGATGAAGCGTCACAGGGTAGATAATTTCATTTCAGGCAAGAAAAACCCTTGGCGGAAATTCAGTGCTTTAAATTGCGACGTTGACGTCAGTACCAATGAGACGGATCACGCTATTGTGTGACCGTCTTGCTTGGCCGTGAGAATGCATGCAGCGTTCCCTTCATCTAGACTAGGAGCACTGTTAACCTCTCGTGTCTATGTTTAATTAACGAAAAAAAAAGCGATAAGCGTCGTCGAGTAAACGTGCTCCCATTAGTACTACCATCTTGTATGCGTTTCCTTTCAGTAAGCTTATGAAGTCTAAGGTAGGCGGAAGCTTTTAAGCAACTCTGCTACTGACTGTAGGGGTTTTCCGCGAAATCAATTTACTTAATGCGGGTTCTCAATAAATGTGTATTTAAAACCCTGGTTGTTTCAGTTTACCAACAAAGTGTTGTGCGTTCAAGCGTTAAGACACAGTGGTGCTCATGGTCTGTTCCAGTGGAAAACCATTATTTATTTTGGCTTATAAGAAATATAATATTTCGCTTCATCACCTCGCCGTAACGCCTTTCCAATATTGCCTCATGTAGGCAATCAATAGGATATGTATGTGGCTCATAAGGTTTTATTTGGAAAAAGACAAGTGTGTGTTCCTTATCCAGGGAAAAGAGATGGATGAGGTCATCTGGGTGGTGAAGCGAGCATGCTTGCTGTTACACTCGACGATCCATGAAGCGCGAAAATCGTATGGCTGAAATGACCCTCGTTCATGTTGAAGTTGTGCATAGGCTTGAAGTATTGCGCTTCGTAAGCCGAACAAGGACACTGCAAGAATGGAACTTCCTGTAATTTTCAGTGAATGTTTCGCTTTTTGACGCTTTTTTTTGACTGTCAGCATTGTCAAAGTGCCGATTCAGTTCGATGAATATACGCACGTATTTGTAACTACTTTCTTACAAACTAGTGATGTTTGTTTGTGAGCTATAGCGAAGCGGACACATCGAACAAAGAAAAAATAGTAATAACAGATTGTCTGTCAGTCTAGAGTAGACGCAGCAGGAATATCGCTGTATGTACATACTTTTATTGTTCAGAGGATAATCGGATGTAAAAAAGCCTTCAACTGAAGATATTTGTAACACCGATTTTTAATATGAAGGAAAATGTTTTGCGGAGCCTTCGTCACGCAAACGAGCTGGAGATGCCAAGAAGGATCGCATCGAATTGTTCAGAGTAGGTCAACGAAAGTGGTAGTATTACCCTCAGATTCAAATATGTCTTCATGAAAGGCATTCTTAGGGTTAAGAACTCGGATCTCGTACCTCGAAGCTGAACCAATTCTATCGATACTCAGTAGTCAAACAGAACTTCACAACTGGACAAATGTACTAGAAATCATGTTTATATTGTCAAAATAGGTATTTCTGTTTGTTGAACATGTCGGGATTAACATGTTAATTCGTAAACAGTTGGCCAGTTCTACTCAGTCAAAACTCGCAGATGATATATAGAACAGAGAATACCGAACAGAGGCCGAACGAGCAAACGTTTTTAGGGAACCGTTTCGCGGTCAGGTGTTATACAAGTGAAGGTGCTGGGGGCGAGGGTGACGATGACGAAAATTTGTTTTTCTCGTTCGTAAGCAACCGCTGGAACGAATTTCACGTTCCGTTAGAGCGTCCAAACATGATTATGTATGACCGGTTGGTTATCGCATGAGTACACTGGCAGCAGGCCAATAAATCGCCAGTGATACCTTCAGTAGCACTACTGCCGCGTCCTGGCCTACCACATAGTAGCAAACATGCCACCGGAAGAAAACATCTTTTTGTATTATAATATCAGCAAGGCTCGATCGCGAAATTTTGTCGAAAAATACGGTGAAAAATGATGGTTTTCTTCACGATTTGCTCCATCGAAAATAAAACACGTAAGACTACAGTTGTGTTTTGAAGAGATACGAGAGTTTGCTGGTTCTAAAAATGCACGTCCGACATAAAACTGGTTATTAATTAAAACATAAACAGGGCATCATATGACTAATAATATTGCACTGCCACAAGCGATTTAAAAACTGAACAATTTTTGGGCTTCGGCTGGTAAATATTCCGGTTTTCTAGAACGTCCTAAGAAGAAAATACTTGAGTTTACCCCGGAAAAAATGAGTTTAGGAGGATAAGCATCTTAGTCTTAAAGATCGGTGTTCAGTGATTTATTTCCCAAAAGCTATAGAGCTGCGGAAATTCATCAAAGATAGGTGAAGACATTAGACAAGATGGCCTTAAGCGAAAGAAGGGGTCCACTAGTAAACGAGTTCTAAGGTTCTCTGGATCCGCTTGTAATAGCCCGATAATAATTAATATTATTATCATCATTGTGTTATCAAGTTGCCCTTCTCTCATCATTCCAATATCAACTAACATTAATCAGCTCAGCATCTTATGTGCAAACATACATTCGGCCTGGTGTGTCAAACCTAGTCACACAATATTCAGTAATTTCTAAAGTCTCTGTTCCTTGGCTTCTCAGGCATCTACGTAGCTAGGTTTGATGAAGGCTCGCACCTTCGGTAATATTATTGTGGTGGACTACAGCACTATTTCAGAGCAAAATTTAAATTGAGCAAAAATGTCTTAGAGAATGTATCGATTTCTACTACAGTCATGACCTTTGAGCTTCCCACTTGGACACACGGAAGAAGTTTTAGTTTGCCGTTAGGAAGCCTTTAGCCAGTGAGGAAAGACTATATACGTTCGAAACACATTAAACGATAGGCCAACTCTGAGTAGTTAGCATTTGCGCTCATTGTGTCGTCTCACTTAAACTAAGCCTACGTATATGTATATTTTGAAAAGTAGCAGGTCCACGAGATTGCAGATAGGGCGGCTAGTAATTTTCAGCGGTGTGACCTGTCTCATCCACTAAAGGCTATGTCTGACCATCACTATAAATTAGGTGGCCTTAAACTGAACGCTTCTGGCGGACAGTAATGAACAATGATCGGTCCTGCCAATGGCGGCAACAAGAAAATTACTATGAAATAATGTAACAAGGGGAAAAATCGAACTAATGCTAAGATTTAAGGCCAATAGATAGTGTTAGTCACTATCAATCGAATTGATCAGTCTGAATTAGACTTCCGACATAGACCCAAATAATCTACCTATGCATATCTGTTGTTCGTTGTCGATGAAATAAGCAGTGAATATTCCAAGGCACTGCCTATAAGTTCAACCTCTGCCTATAGTAGGATCTGCTTAGTGGGTTCCATTTGATATCGAAACGCGTTCCCCGTACCCTAAATAAGTATCTAGAGGCTGGTATTTTAAATCTGTAGATCTCGAAAGTGACTGGGTATTGTATTCTTTTCCTAGTTTCGGTAAAATACCCACCGTTGGGAAAAATATTAAGCTTCTGAGACCTTGCCTTTAAAACGAAAATGTTCGCCCTGTTACAATATGCTGCAGCCGAACTGCTTCAAATTTCACCATTTTTGTATCGTGTGGTATCTTACAACTCACCTTTTTGCCTGGACAAATCTGTAAAGCAGAAGTTGCCACCAGCTTGAATATATATATATATATATATATATATATATATATATATATATAGAAGGTGCCAGCAGTTTAAACAGCTATGTGTATCCTTTAACGCACAGTCGCATCTAAAGAAGTACGTCTACATACATAAACACCTGTACGTTTCTAATTCGAAACGTATAGTTTGCATTCGGGAGCATCTTACGTTCTGAGCACGGTAGAAAGCTCGGTTTTATGCACTGCCATTAGGCCTGTTCGTGGTACGTAAGTAAGTTTGTCCCGTTTACGTCCGTTTCTTGCTTGAATGTGCCGTTCGCATGAGTCAACGTGAGAGGGTCAGCTTTATTCATCCGCAGAGGTGAGAAAAGGCGAAAAGCGTATTGTGATCAAAGCAAGTGGAAAGAAGTCTTAAGTTAACCGTCCACTAAGTCTGATGCGCGATAGTCGGTGCCTTACTGTCTTAAATAGGTCCACAGACACAATGCACCGACTAATGAAGCAAAGGACCCACTTCAAAGCCCTCGACTCTCGCGTACCTTAAAATTATGTACTGCAAAAAGAAACCATTTTACGATTCGTAATTAATTTTCATTAAATAACTTGTCCCTTCTTTCGAGTGGAAATAACGAACTGCCATTCTAGGATTGAAAGTCCTGTAATGGTGGTTCGGCATCTGTGAGAATTTTATAAGGCCTTGGTTAGGTAGGTAAGGTCGACTGGCTATTGAGAATATCTATCCTAATCGTGCAGTTGCGCCACGTCGTGCAAAGGTACGATAAATATTTATTTGTTAACTAATTAAAATATCGTGTTGTGCAACGTTAGTAAGAATCCAATAAACAAGATTGCCGAGTGCCAAACCTGCAGCATGTTTCACTTGCGGATTTGATATTGGCATGAATTTAACATATAGGGAATAATAAACTAGTAACAAACCCTGGAGGTAAGAAATACACACTAGTGTTATTTGTTCTAACGCTAACATTCTGTAACCTACTTTTATGTGACTTGGACCTTAGGCCTTAATATCGGCATCTAACTCAAACCTGTGCCAGGAAAAACTTGGGCGCACGGCGGCCTTCGCAGACTTCTTTTTAGACCTGCCCTTTCCTCTCGTTTGTTTCAGGTTCGGGCCCAACTCCGCAACGCCTATCTGCGGGCAGCCATACGCCGTAATCCTAATCGGAAATCTATATACTCCGGAAGGCGTCACATCGCGCCCAGCTTCTCACAGCGTCAGCAAATTAATCCCTCACAATCCAAGGACCATACGGTTTGTCCAACTAATCTAACTGCATCCGGTGGAGAGACGCCTGGGAAGTTACTCTTTGAGTCATCTATGGCGTCTCCATCGTTGGATACCTTTGCGGTGTAAAATTAAATTGCCTTTTTAACCAGTGGACGAAATTCTTATAGGCATCGTAGAGCGAGATCCACGAGATGTAGAACGGAAGTTACAGGAAACTGAGGAAGTAGAACTAAGCCATACACAAATCATTTTACTACTTTAAATAGTAACGACGCTGATCGGTTTCAATTAGCATCGAAGTAATTTGTATATGTATATATATACATATATACATATATATTTGTTAGGCAGCAGCGTTAGCGCCATCTGATTTATGGACAAGATAAATTTAAAAAAAAAAAAACTGTCTTGCCGAACGTGATTCTAATGTACAGCCATATAAATTTCTACTTGATAAATAAATGTATAACTGCATATGATATGGCAAAAAATAAAGGAAATCGAGCACACTGTGCAGAATGACGAATGATTGAGTCCTCCTATCGTAGTAAGATTATAAACATATTATTGTCGTTGATCGCAAATGGCCTGGATGTTCTCATGGGTGGAAGCATAAGATTTCTCCAAAGGAGCTCGGAATTTCAAATAGGACGAAAAGTTTGACGAGATGCGAAGCAGTATGTGACAGCTCTTTAATAATGACAATAAATAGTACTAATTCAACATATTCAGAATATTTCATTGTACAATTCATTAAAATGAATTAAGCTAACACCAACTTCACTGACGGCATCTTCCTTCATAGACACAGAGAGAGGTTATCGCTTCGTCGATCTGGGGGCTCGTTCTTCCCGATTACTAGCTAATGGTTTATTTATTACTAACTTAATAAGAGACCTAATGTATCCATGAAAGTTTTGGACAGTACGTTACATCTAAAGGTTAAAGGCAGAATAGTGCTAAAGGGAAGCCAAGTAAGTAACCTTAGCTTAATTCCTTGTTTCCATTACCTGCAATAAAATTTGATATCGACTTGGATACTTAGTCAGAGAAAAAAAAAAAAAGAACTCATGCTAGAAAAACTGGCTGGCTTTGAAAGGATCGCTAAGTTTGTAAGGAAGTAATTTGTACTTCCATCATTGCTTTCAGGTCTTCCCTCTCAAGAAGCGTATAGCCACTCATTACGAGTGGTCAGCCGACATAAATATCTTTTCCGTCAAATCGAATACTAGATCGATTGGTGTATTCTGAACTTTACTTACTATAAGTAGCGAAAGCGTGCCTATCTAACATCAGCCTACATCAGTCGAAACGGCCTATGAAAAACGGGCGGTTGTTTTAGCCTGATATCCTAATTTTGATCTACTTAGTAAAATCTTATTTGACATACTTTAGGAAATTACTATGCGATAATATAGGTTTCATTTTAATCTGCCCGGACACGAATTGGCTACTGGCAGCTTAATTCGCACAATTAGACACTTCTGGATATTCGTGTCCGTGTGTTTCCTGCGATTTTCGTTAATACTCGTTTATATCGGTTGGTTTATTTCAATCGCACTTTTCATTGAAAACACATGGGCCTATTTCAGAACTACATGATACCTTCCGAAGTGGAAATCTTCCGGCAGACTGTTTCCTAAGGGAGCTCTACTTGGCTCGTGGCTTTGCACTATTAGTTGAAATTGCTGAAAAAGACTTCAGCGTAAAGCGGGGACCAATATCAGTAAATTTGCTTGCACTGTTATTTAGTCCTAGCTTGCAATTTTGTTTTCAACTCGCTGTTCCGTCCACAAAACAGTAACTAAAGCTCCAGAGTAAATCGTCATCGATGATGGGGCTTAACCTCGTTGCGCTTACCCTGCTCATCCTGAATACTTCAAAAGTCGTTGACGTTTTCAGAAGTACACGTATGATAAGTTGCGGATGACGCATGGCTTTTGTAGCGTTATCAAGACCACAGCAGTAGCTAGCGTTACCACACAAATCCTATGCTAATAATAATAGTAATTATCATAATGGTATTTTACCCACAGCGCACGTTCTTTTACCCACAACCGCATCCGCATAGAATTATAAAAAAATTAAGTACGAGGCATGTTATAGAAACACACAAAAAGTAGATACGTCCTGAACTAATGTACAAGAAGACTAAGATCTCCTGACAGTATACCTAACCGATATGATAGAAAAAAATGCACGTGTTGCCGACAATGGACCCATCACGATCCTATAGGAGAGGGCAGCCGCCAAAAAGCTGAAAGGAAGCCTAAGAAGATCTATATTTTCCACAAAACTGCAAAATTTAAGCCAAACAGTTTCTTATATATAAAATTCTCAAATATAAAATAAAATCGTACCCTAGCAAATGCTCCCGATCGACCAAATGCTCAGATCGTTGATGAATGTAAATTTATGATACATTAGTTACGTGCACATTTTGTTCTTCTTCACATTCCTACAACACGTGCATGAATTCGAATCGAGAATGTATATTGATACGTACTTGTTCGCTCACCACCGTGTATATATTGTTTGTAATGGCAAACAAGCCTCGGTAAAAATCATAGATTCAGTTGTCAGAGCTTCAATTTTGGGCATGATACAAACATAAACTAGGTACATAACTTCTTTGGGTATGCAAAATAGCGTTTTTCTTTAGTAGAGGTACAACCTACTGTAACGCGTTCGGAACGGAAAACAAAGGCGGATTTCTGTGCGTGTTTCTATTCATATGTTAGTTCCGGTCAGGAGGTTTAAGCTACAATACACATGGAAAACGAGATCTGCCAAACGTCGTTCCCAGAACCATTTTCATAATAATCTAATCTACTTCGGGTAATTTTCGATCACAGTCCTGCATGATTCAGTTATCAGTAGTTTCATAAATACTCTGTTTCAGATCGCGGATAGTTTTTGACGCTGTCTTATAGGCGAAGGTTCCTCCCATACGCCCGTGGAAAAAACTATTTAACTATTGGTCCCGGGTGAGCACTTGGCGTTACCGTCGTGCCAATCTGGGAACATGATGTAAAGCAGATTGATTATTCCTCACGCTATGTAGCAAGTTGCCGCATCCTGCTGAAACTCAACGTTGCTTCCATCCAATGTTATCATTTGAAATTATTAAAAAAGTTTGTAAAATGTTACGACGGAGCGCGCCATCGGCTTCTTTTGCTTTTTTGTTATCATTTGAAAGAAAAAGAACTTAATATCGCCATAGCTCCACTAGCCTCGTTACACAGTAACTTTTACATTACACAGCGAAGTGTTTGGTGCTCTGAGCCCGAAATACGGCGATTTTGTTTATTTACATAGCCGTCGAGTTGAAACTGGGTTTTCTCAAACAAGATAATTTTATCAAAGGATCGCAAAAAGGACCAAGTTACGCAAGCGGTTCCTAAAAGAACAATTGGCTGACATTGGTTTTTGTGTGCAGGGCTAATTAAACCTCCTGGGCTGCATTAATATATAAAAAAAAATTAGCACAGAAGCTCGCCTTTGTTTGTCATCCCAGTAGCATAAATAAAGCCCGATGCCTTCTGAAATGTCCTGTAACATGCCACAGTTACCTATACTCATTTTAAGCTTGATCCATTTAAATCAACCGGCATGGCTCATAATAGATTTCCATCAAACAGGTCCGACTTTTGGGGTTTATTTTAGACTGAGTGAAAAATTTCCATTGGGGTCGACATGCAGCGCTGGGTCTAATTGGCTGATCGTATCCAGCTAAAACTAACCGCAAGGATTGTTTTTGCCGTCGGGAGTATGCTCCGTTATTTTCGTTGAATGGTTGTCGTCAGAAATAATGATTCGGTGAGTTTAGTCGTAAGGCTTGGAAAAAATGTTTACTCTACATTGTCTGTCTCGCTGATTGCGTGCTAAAAAGAGTGTTGTCATGACAAAAAAAATGTTTGTGAAGTCGAAGCCAAATGCATAACGAGCGTCGCCGATTTCAATGGAATCGCTTCAGAACCGGAAACTTCAACTCGAACGGCAAACTACGTTCCGTACGGCCGCAGAAAGCGAACGACAATGAACTGCAGGCACTTCGTAAGCAAAATAGGGCGCAATCGACCTGAGTCCCCTTTGCACAGCTAGGGATGACCCAGATGGCTATTGTCAATCATTTGCATGCTTTAGAAAAGATCGGAAAAACATAAACGAAAAGTAAGCCTGTGTGAACTCAGTGAAAACTACAAGAAAAGCCTAACGTGATACGTTTTGTTGTTGCACGACAAAAAAAAAGTTCTTTCTATGCACATTCATCACGGCGATGAGGGATTGATATTTTACGACATCTCTAAACGCAAATCAGAACGATTAAACTAAAATAAAGTTTGATACTACGAAGAAATACGCATCATTAGAAGCTGTGTTTCTCTGTATGATGAGATGAGATGCGAACGGAGTGTTGCACAGTAACCAACTCGAACTCTAAGAAAGAACAGGAGATTATTACGCGAATCAACCTATTCGTCTGAGCCACTAACAGGAAAAAAGTCTTGGCTTGGTAAAGGACAACGCAAAGTGGTATTGACGCATCACACGTTGCCTTGGCGGCCCACCAAGCGTCAATGGACAGCTTTGCCTTGTCCAGCGTACGGCTGAGACGTCCCTCAATCTAATCGCGTCTTGCTTCGATCAATGCAACATAGTCGGGAAAGCAAACCCTTTGGATCGGAGGCCAAAATCCACAAATAGGTCTACGAAATGAATCATTTCTAAGGATGAACTCTATTTTATGAGATGTATTTCCTACGGGAAATATATCGTAAACGACGGAAAACGCTACTTCAACTGAGATTTGACCGAATATAACAACGAATTAGAGTGGTTAAAAAGCAGCGGGAACTTCATAGTTTACCTAATAATAGTACCTTACGGCTCAAAGGTTACATAAGAACTGCGCTAATTTTTTTGCCGTATTGATATCAGGACGTTGATATATGTACAGACAAAGAGTACGATTAGCCCAGAATTGCAGCTCTCTTTCTTGATATAGCTATGAAAACTTTCCAACACTACGGTGTTCTAGTACGGCGGAGTTCAAAATCTGACATAAGTCCTTTAAATATCTGTCCTAAACAAAAAAGCCTGATTTTGACCATTTAGGCGAAATAACTTTCGGTATATAATAGGTAAAGCAACGTGTCAAATCACAGAAGACTAGATAATCCTAAGGCTGAATGTTTCTGTTCATCATTATGAACGGAGACGCTATTCAGATAGTGTTCTACCTTTTAACACTAAACAATTGCATTGTTTTCAAAAGCACTTTGTGACGTAATACTTGGCGAACGCTGCATTGGAAAGTCATCGTCTAGATCAATTTAAATCATCTCCATTCAATTGTGCGTTATTTGTGTACTCTAATCACAGGTATTATGTGTTGATTTTACTCATAATTAAAGTCTATTGCTCGCTAATATAGCAGCAAACGTATTGCTTCAATTTATAAATACGTCGTACGCTTCCGCCCACGTGTGATATCGTATTGAGTACGTTTGTGTCGTTTCTACAGAACTACAGTAAAGACTTTCCCAAATATAACTTTGCGAGGCGTTCCGATTCAGCGTATCGTAAAGTTATGCCTCACCCATAACTTGGACATATACTATTTTGCGTGTGGATTTCTGTTAAACAAATCTTATCCTTGTCCTGTTGGTTGGGGCGAGACTTAAGTTGCTGGTCCTTTAAAAGGTTGACCTTCGAAGGTTTGGAAACAGCAAAACGTACTTAGGTCAAGTTATAGCAATTTACTTTTAATGCTGCATGCGTCAAACCCTTGATTAAGCGCACAACTGATCTAATATTCCCTTTTGTCGACCCTGACCAATGTGTGCAATATACTGCCCGCTCGATCCTCTGGTGAACTACTTTGAATCTATTTCTACGGCTAATTCTAACAACTCTCACGAACCTTATAAAACAGTCTTATGGATGTCGTCGGCTATATAGTGCAAGTGTGTGATATGATGACCCTTCTAAACAGAAAGGAGTCATAAACCAGACTCCTTTTCATACCGAAACCCGCCGCGCATGTTTCTATTTAGGGATCTAATAGATATTCGAGCGCAATTGACGCTTAATTTAGCGTGAGTTTTTATATGATATATTAGTACATATTGATAGACGTTGCAGTAGTCAGCTGAAACCATATCTTCTTCCGTTGATTAGACGCAAGAAAATTATTGACAGTTTCCAGCAATCCCGCGCTGAAGCTATCTGGTCGAGTGACGAAGTATCAGCTAGCAATTTTGAGTAATAAGTAGCATATTATTGCAGAATATATTACCTCACCATAATAGTACTCACAATACGCAGATTAACAATTCAGATCTGGCACTTCTTACCGAAATGACTGCTAGAAACTCACGAACCATGTAGGTTTTACCTGCAGTTTCTTTATATCACTGAAGTTTTCTCTTTTTTGTTTTACAACAGCCTCGTCACGTTTCCCAGCGATCCAGGGGATAAGATTGACAGAGAGTGCAAAGGCTTACGTATTCATCAAGCATAATTGTGTCATCACGAAGGATTTGCTGAAGACTTTGAAGGAATTGCTCTCCATTTTGCCGCAGACCTTGTTCCCTGCAGAAGGGACATTCGTACTTTAACTTCGAACTAAATTTTAGGTCTTTGCAACAAACCCGTGATTTTCAAAGGCCCTATACATATCCTCACAGTTTCCTTAGGGAATTATTATTATTATTATTGTTATAGGAAAGCATTTCTACGAATCGCACAGAAGCACTCATTTAAAGCCCAAAAATTATCTCGCCCCTTTTATTTATCCTCTAGTAATAAACTGGTTCTCTTACTTGTTCTTTATACATTGGTTTATGTTAGCGCGCTTCACAAGCAAAAAAACATTCTTTAATCATATAAATCAATCAGTATCACATTTCCCGTAGTGATTACATAATTTACCTTATTCATTATTCCGGACAGAAATAAAAAAAATGAACAGAAATTTTGTTGTTTAGCAACAGTAATGAATGTTGATTCTAATGTAGGATCTCTTCCTCATTCTTAACAAAATGCGAAGGGTCTTCGAAATCGCACAGCGGTGCTTAGAGGTTTTTTTTTTGCTAATTACATTAAAGGCAGATGTAATGCAAGCGCCGGACGTTTCTAATAGCTATTCGATATGTAACGTCACTTGTTATTATTAATAAGCTACCAATAGAAAGCTCTAAAACAAGATTCTCCATTCAGATTGGCCTTAAGAGAACGAAAGGTTAGAAACAATTTCAATAGAAACCGTTGTTTGAAACATAATTCGAAGACGTCTAACGCGGTAATTAGCACACTTCAATCCAGAACCACGGTTTTTCCCTCTTTTGGGGGCTATTGCGAGGATTTTACTTCTGAAAGACATTAATTTTAAGAGAACAAATAATCGTTCACCCCTCCTGTAAACCGTACTGTGGTAAATCCCTCTACTGTGCTCATACTAACAGCAAGCGATATTATCTGAGAGTTACAAAAATGTCATGCCTACAATGGCGGCGTAAATTATCTCGACTTATCTTCGCCGATTGTAAATATACATAACTGAGTTGAAGGCAAAGATGCGTTTCTTGCGTACGCTTCATTCGCTTCTAAAAATCACGTTTTATTACAAGCGTACGTGTTGAAGCGGTCGGTATTTTCCGATTTAACCCTGATCATTCATTGAACCCAAAAGCCGATCGAAAGATAACTATGGGATGATAATATTTTGATTCAAAAAGAACAAGGTTACTTTTCTTAGCTTATTTTTATTGGTGACAAATTATCAAAAATGAATTCGTTATACAATTAGGCCTGGGAAAATCTGCTTAATTTTAAGATCACGTTTTCCTGTATGGCGAGGATTGATCGCTTGGTGCGATAATTCCTCAAGTTGCTGTGGAGACACTGGAAAGCACAATTATAAACAACAAAGCAACACAGGAAAAAACATTAAATAAACAAAATACTGGCGAATAGATTAAAAATATAATTTACTTAAAGAAATCAACCAGAGACTGCAATCTGGCACGAGAAAGACATCCTGTATAAGCATTTTTTTCAAAATACAGAAGATTAGTGATATAATCAAACTCGTTAACGTTGAAAAGAGATGATGAAACGTATAATATATATTGACGCTAACTACAAATGTGTATTGGCATGAGATCGACAAACTGCCAAAAAGGAAACAACTTGGTTTTATCGCTAAAACGCACGCAAAAAACACGGCTTTACAGTGATATAGCTTGTAAGCCAACAGCTCATATATAATTACATTTCTATTTTGATCTTATTGGCAATGAGGATTGAAGCCCTGCCTCGCATAGCAACGCTTGGATGTTTCGCCGTCCTTGTAACTTTTTCTTTTATTATTACAATGATTGTTACTTCCTCAATCCGAGCACTCGTTGTGTAAGTATTGGGACTCTGTAGCAGTATGATTAATTGTTAATTTGCAATAGGTTTGAAATGCCAGCTACGCATTAAATGAAGCCTAATATCTCAGAATAGTGCACCTGATATGTGGCATTTCTGACTCTGTGCTAGCAGCAGACGTTTTTCGTTAACTCAGATCGGCTATATCCGCTTGAATCCGGGTTCGGACCCGCGATCCGTGAGCTCCCGTACCAGCCTGCCGTATCTGTGCTAAGTGAGTCTATACATTGCACATTTATCCTGCTTCTAATCTGTATATCTGTACGGTTTTACATATAGTTAGATACTATATACAATCCAAGCGGAGTTATCCTGGTTTCATGGCCTGGTAATCCTAGTCATTCCCTCGAAACATTGTTCACTATTAATTGAAGAACCACATTGTGTGAAGAGTGAAGAGGTCGAAAATTAGCGGTTAGTAGTTAGCGGCCGACGCTAGACAGATATTGCTTTACTGGACGTAATCGTGCGTAAATAGCATCACTAAAACTTCGCTAAAAGGTCCGCGTTGCAGCTCCAAAAATCTATATACATTCGTGTGGCTTTTTCGATTGCAAATTTATCCTATGCACCATGTAAACAATATGGAAAAGCTAACATTTCTGTTAGTAAATGCAGCCTTCTTACAACAGGCACAACTCGAACTTACAGCCAGATAGAAGTTCTGCTTCAAGCTGAGAGATGTAATCCTTTTTCGTAGGTCTGTCCGTTGTACCAGTTACTAAAGGCGGACGAGGTGGCCTATTGTGATTACTATTTGAACTATGCACTGGTCCTTCTGCAGGAATGAGTGGTTTCCCCAAGAAATTTTTGTTCCCATCTCCCGATGCCTGTAGAGTAACCAATATCATCAAGTGAGATTTGCACCAGGTAAAAGTTCAAGCTGAAATAGCACAACTCTATTAGGTTGAAATGGTTTTAAGAGCGCGACTCGCTTGAAGGCCTGTAGATAATTATTTTTCTACATTAAACGATCTTAATGAAAGGTGAAATATTGAAGCGTACCGACTCATTTTGCTATTTATAAAACATTAGACCTATGCTATGATGTACTAAAACGATCCATAATACCATTTTTATAACTCAGTCGCTATGTTATCCATTACAAGCGAAACAACTTATTCACGACCCTGCGCAAAGGAGGTTACTACTGGTTAAGCCGTCAACTGTCGAAAGCAGGTAATACAACCTACCCTATCCTCACGGATAACTTGAGGCAAATCTACGACAACTTCCGGTTTCCAAAGTCCGCTAAACTGGAACTTTCTATCAGGTCTTGGTAGGTGCTGCAAGCCTGGAAACGCAACTAGCTGATCAAAAGGAATATCTTTCACCTGTGAATTTTCACCGTGCGGATGATGCGATACATTTGGTGGTATTTGATTCTTTGAAAATGGCACGGGTGCTGGAACCCCACGATAGCCTGGAAATTTATGCGAAACAAATCAATACCGAGGAAGAGGCTCTGGAATAAATTGAATAAAAAACCACACTATGATTCTAAGTTGTCAATTGGATTTAGGTGACGATAAAGTAAATGCAACAAAAAAAAAATGAAGCACTAGAAAAAGCACACACTTGTTTAAGTGAACAGCAAAGTTGCCGTTGAAACGAACTTCAAAATATAAAAATAAGAAGTATTGATTTAATAAACACTAATACTAGTAGATGAATATTAAATAGCTGAAAGTGAGCGCAGACGCTTATTGTTTACCAACAGGAAAAGTGCTCTACTTTGCGAAGTAGGGTACGTTAGTGGCACGCAAGTTGAAATGCCATTGATTTAGGAACATAGGAGAATACAGAACCGGAAGGACTCCGTTAGGCGAGTTACGGTAGAACTGAAGAAAACAGACAACAATGGCTCACTATTAATCCATTACTTACGGATTCATGTAGGCAGTGTATTTTTTTGCCTTGAATGAGGACACATTAACGCTGCCCTTGGTAACAAGCTGTGATTCAACATGAACAGCTTTAATAGGTGTTTTTGTTGCGTAGTTAAAAAACTGCTCTAATTATATAGGCTGTTGATATATAAAAACATGCCAGTATCGTATACTTAGGTGTAACCAATACGCTCAGATTATAATAAGCGCAACATATGATAACATACGATAGAACAATAGGTTTCTATAACCCTCTTTAAAGGTCAAGGCTTATATTCAATACAACATAAACTGTTATACAGTGGTTTCAGTTACAAATGCAAGTTAAGGTAACACAGATAAGTTTATTAGATTTATCAAGACCTTATTGAATTGAACTACACGGCTGGTTTTAAGTAGTGTATGACTTTTAATAATATAAAAAATGATAACAATAATAATATCAGCCTATGTTTGCTTGTTGCTGGACCCAAATCGACTCCACAGAGGGGTCAAATTAATTGACTTTTTTTTCTGGGTCAGAAAAGCGTCACCTTGGGAAGAACTTTGCTTCAGGTGGAGCCCGTTATATAAACACGTTCCTAAAAGCTTCCTTTTCCTCATAAAACGTACTGTTAATTTGGAGAAATTGGCAATTTTTGGTGATTTGCTCAATACCCGTCCAGAATTTGTGAAAGGTTTATATTGGAAAACTGTTTGTTGTGTTCATGTTCCACAAAATGGGCGCAACATGCAATATGGCGCAAAAAAATCCAATTTCCAGTAGAATGGTCGATCATTACTGGAGCAGGGTATAATTGTATCAACCTAACGGGGTCACTGAGCCCAAACGACTCGATCGAAAAAATAGGGTCACTCCAACCGGCAGCTGGAATGGGATAGCAGTTCTAATATAACAGAGCTTGAGGAGATCTGGACGTCGGACGTCTATAATAAACTAGGTTCGGAATAGAGCAAGAATTAAGGTTGGAGGTTAAGTAAAATATTAATTAAATATTAAAATAGGCTTATGAAATAGCTGCAGCAGTATAACGGACTCTTAAAACGTTATATTAAGACAGTGGGAAGTGTGGAGCAGGGTAACTGCAACAGGACATATACAACTACTATACTGACTGAATCAGAGAAAATAAGGCTACTATAACAGAACAGCTGCCACGAAATAACGGGTCAGTGCTACAGAATATCAAATGAGTTGCAACGGGATGATTTTATAGATATAAGTCTGTAGTCTAATTGTAATTTATTTTTCCCAAATATAATTTTCGTTTTGGTGGTGATGTCTGTCCGAATATGGGATCCGTTTCTAAGGTCGCATTTTTGGATTTTTTTTAATATTTATTTAAAGAAACGTTATGCGAATTATATTTTAATGAGATTTTCTATGTATTTTTGCATCGGCATGGAAGTCAAATATTTACGTTAAAGTTTAAGTCAAAGTTACGTCAATGAAGATATATCTAGGCATCAATAGAGCCTTTGGCCTAGCTGAAGGAAGTACCCAGAACGTCAGCTTTCACGTCTAAAATGCCGTTTGAATAACAAACACCTAGCATAGTTTTTTTTTTTTTTATGTAAAGGAAGGGTAACTTTTGCTACCATCTCGAGCACATCTCTTTTGGTACATCTCGAGAAGTTGAGTAAAAATGCTAAACGTGCCTTAATATCTAAAATCGATATTTCGGCGTAAAAACTGGAAAAACCGGACATTTGTTTTTTTTTTTGAGCTAATTACTAACATATGCCAATTGACAAATTGAAGCACCGTCAACATTTAGGAAATACAATTTTTTACATGTCCTCTATGTAAGGTACCAGTTTCCTAACAGTTTTTCTTCAAAAAAATTAACAGATCCTGACGAACTGATTAGTCATACAATGCATCTTCCTACTATTGAAGTAGACATTTCGGCGTGAGCAGGATCAAGAACTAAATGTCGTCAGTCTTTCGTACTGCGACGAACATTTGTTACATGAACCTCTATAAAAAAGATTATCTCATAATATCAGTCGAAAGTTTTCGATGAACCAAATATGACTTATGTTCCTCTACGTAAAGTTCAACTCTCAAAAAAAACGTTGTTTGAAGGGTTAGAACATGAAAGGGTGTTGTTTATAGGAAGCATCTTTTATTATCTTTCTACGGACTATGTAATAACGCTATACATGCTTTTATACCTAAAATAAATATTTGGCTATAAGAACGGTTAAAAATTCTATCATTGCATAGGTTTGCCTGTGTAACTTTAGGACGAAAATGCGTTCCAAGGTTGTTCCAAGTGGCTTTTTGAGTAAATTTCCGATAAATATCAATTGAAAATTAAGACTTAGACTAAATTCAACGAGCATCGAATCCATCCATAAAAAATATATAATGTAAGCTTATGTAATAGCTAGGCGTAACCGCTTAAATGAGCAGGGTAACTACGGCGAAGTACGTATACTATAGTTGATATTAGGTTGGATATAAGTTAGTTAAATCGCTGATGAAGGTGGGTCAAAGCCTACAGGCCAGTCTAGTCAGTGACCAATCTTTCAAGTTAAGCTTAAATTTTGAACTGAGATATTTTATGCGAAAGGCCTTACTTAGATTATTAGAGAAACAAACGTTTTTACAACAATGTTACTATAATATAACTGGATATACCGCTGTACAAATAACGTCGTAGGGTCCCACGGGAAATGTTTACATTATTTACGTTTAGATTCACCACCTAATCCCTTTCGGGATCCAACATTATAACAACAAATGACACACCATAGTGGATTCTCAATCACGCCACAACCTACACTAACCTTTGGGATAACCTCGAGTTACTGGTTTCAAGGGCTAAGTCAGGCCACGCCGTCGGGGAAATTTATTCTAAGGATAGAAACGCCCAGGCGTATGCCACCCCTTAAAGTATTAAAAACGAACTGTCGCCATTTTTGTATTTCTTTAGCTGAACAGCCTTGTCTGAATAGCATCTAAAATTATTCTGAGAAATCTTCCAAATCAGGCTACTCGGTTCCAGCCTTTATTGCTTGATCTGAATCGTACCGATAACAAGACCACCATATGTTTTACTATTCGAAAGACGGTTTCCTTCTGATCATGACTAAAACATCCGTGCAAAAAAAAATAGGTCACAATTGCAAAGATTTACAAAGGGACACCTGATTGTTTAAGGGCGGATATAAGATTATACCACCCCATATTGCTCAAGTCCCTCTAACCACATTTATTTTATGACAAATGTAATTGAACAATCAAATGCCAGAAGATATATATAAGATGTAATAACAATAATTCAAAACATCCTGAATTTGAAGTAAAGACCGGCCTCATGTAAATAAAAATATCCTCATTGTTACAAATGTTGTTGATTGTTGTATTTAAGCCCTCGTATAGCTTTAGCTAATGTTCACTTGACACTTTGCTTCCATCTTATTCAAAGGGGTTTGTTCTACATGTACATATGGTGAAAGAGTTATCCACGATGAAAGCGGCGGTCCTTAGGCCATCTTTAAACATATTTACAAATCTCTGCTCACATTTGTTTTTAAATTGTGGCGTCAATACCGGGTGATGAATAGAGATGAAAGCACAATAATAATCTGTAATCATCTGTATAGCCGTACAAGGGCAGATCCGGTACACCCATCGGACTATGAAATTAACGCGCTAGCGATCTTATATAGCATCTTCGTCGTGACACGACGTCATAGATCGAAAAAACGGGCTCAACATTAATTAATTCGGTAATATTGTACCGAGTTGTTAATGTATAGGGGATGCACAGTTAACGATACATTCGAAAATGGCTAATTATCTTCAAGCAGGCGAAGTTTAAAGCTTTATATAGTGTCGTACCTTCTCCACTTAGTAACAGTATGAACTGGAGTATAAAAACGCTTTTACGAACAAATGGGCTTAAAATGGCCCAAGTGTGTTTTTGAAGAGGTTGTTAAGATAACAGCAATGATCCTCATCTCCTGATACAAGAGCAACGGTAATCGACGCCACTTACGGAAGAACTACTAAAATCTACTTCGATTTTTCATCATATTTTCGCCGGCTGAAAAGTTCGGCAGAAAGCATTGCGTGTCTTGAGGCCAGTCTGGACCTACAAAGTGACGCTTAAGGTAGACTCGTAGTCCCGATTATTCAACAGTAGAAACGCCATAGAAGACCGATCATCGTTAGCAGTACACTACTATTCGTCCGTACTAACGAAGAAACGAACTCCATTAAAGCAAACATAGAAGCTTGATTGCTTAAGAGCTATGTTTGATATAATTTGAAATATATCTGCATTTACATAGTACATCTTATAATGGGTAGCACAAAAACTTAACCTATAACGATTTCTGTTTTGAGAATAGAGGCGATATCAGGTTCTTCATAGCTAAGACAACAGAATTCCCACAAATCGGTATAGGCGTAACTTACTTACCTCCTGACGTGATAAGAAGAACCTTCTGTCCACGGTAACCGCCTCTACGATAGCCGCCGCCTCGTGGAAATGCCGAGTTAGAAGGAATTAAACCCGTCCTACAACCAGCAAGAGAGGCTAAATCATTCTGATTATTTGTGCTCAGTGGATTCGGGCCGTCTTGAAACAGGAGTACGCTGTCTCGGGTAGTACCTCGAGAACGTCCTCTGACTCCTCCCTCCTCAACTGTCGAAACGTCGCGACTCTTGCTGCTCTTGCCTGTTGAATCTCTAATCCCATCTAGAACAAAATGCATGATTTCTATATTTGGTTTAGCTAAACTGCGCTGAACCCCAGATTCACTCACTGGCTTTGGTTGCAGCGAAGCTTGATTAGGACAAAGCATGCATGAAAACACGAGCACTAAGATACTCCCCTTAACTGACATTGTACTTAGGTTTCTACCGTTTCCCTTTCGCGCTCTAAGAATTAGAGATGACATTTTTGTCCTAGGGGGTACGTCGGAAAATTCACAAATTCAGTTCGAGGGGTAATTGGTCACGTGGGATAACAAAGTGCTAGTAACTTTAACGATTACTAGCAGGTCCCTTAACAGCAACGGGATTCACATTATTCCTCGCACCTGTCAAACATCCAAATGCGGAATGACAGCAACAGAAAATTCTACGCGTTACACTGTTCACTCACGAAATACCATTGTACTTAATTTCGCACCGCATTCACTGGTTCTCGTTTTGCGGAGCGGTCACAAAGCACTGAAATGGACAATGGTGGTATTCACAATTGATATTAAACTATCGTAAATTATGTACAAGCTACGTGTGCATGTAGTTTGTGGTAAGCTAAACAGCAGATCGCGTCAATGGTTGGTGGAGTCGTTCGACGTCTCCGATGATTAGTTCGTTACTGCCTCATGCCGTTTGCCTTAAGGTTCTTTGTAGTTCGTGCAGTCGTGCGCTGTTTGTTACAGTTGCACGAACACGTGTGTATGTATATTTGTAAAAGACATCTATCGGCCACAACTTGCTACTTCGACTATCGCAGTATTGCTGCTGAAATTTAGCTGCATAGCCGCCTACATAAATACGCAGCTCACCTATGTAGACCATATATATGGAAATCATGGGTGGTCTTTACTGCTTCACGATGCGTTGGGTGAGATGCAGCCATGGTAATGATATCGGCAAAAAAAGCAGCGCGGTCTACTGCGCCGCATGGTGCGGAACGGCCCCGGGGCCAATCTGACCCTGGCAGATGGGGAATCACAGAGCGGCTGGCGCCCGCCACCCGCTGCCAGTGGGGCTCGTCCTTTCTGCCATAACATTTCTGTCATACTACTTCAGCTTGTACAACTTTAGTCGTGCCGTCGTCTGCCACTGGCAAAGAAGCAGGGGAGGCGAAGGGCGGCGGAAGAACTTTTCAAACGTGTTGCCCCTAACAGAATTAGCGACCAGATCAGCTCATGGAACGTTCCTTCTGTGTACAATGCTGCGAATGTTTTTGTAGCTAGAATATTTCACATGCGTAAATTGTAATATCACTATACGCCGTCGCCTTGTCTATGTGCGTCTCTGGGAAGGCGGGCTTCCGCATGCATCAGCCGCTATCGCCGGCTGCGTTACGATGAATCCTGTTTTCCACCACAGTTGAGTAAAATACCAACAAGTACTGTATTTCTCGCGTGTGTGCGTTTGTATTCTCTGGGTGAAGTTTATACGTGTGTATGATATCTGCGATCGCTGATATCGAAGATGGCCTAGTCATGAAGCGTTACAACTATATTCAAGCTGTATTAGGGCAAGCGGCAACCGTTGTAACGATGCGTCATCTGTAATGCTAGGGTAATTGGCCATTTTATTAGTTATTACTAGCATTGAAGACATCGCCGCTAGATTTGCGTCGATTCGTGCGCTTTTTATAGCTTCAGACAAGCAAGCTAAGGAATAAAAAAAAAACCCGGCAAAGCCTGAATAGTGATTGATCAAATCTGAATTATTATCTAGGGAAATTCCCTACCTGACCGTTGCCATTTAATCGTCACTTTGCTTCCGGCCATATATCGTTTCAATGACTGCTGTTGAGAAGATGCGTGCATCGAGTCGATTAGCAGAATTCTTTTTATCTGGTCCTTTTTAAGTCATAACCTTGTAATGTCGAGAATAATATGCATTATACGGTGAAACGATCGACTTGATCATGTAGACGTATGGAAATAAAAGAGGCTATCAACCCTAGACTTTTGACATTCGACGCGCCACAGGCGGAAACTTAATTAGTGCTTGGTATCGTGCCGTGCAAGCTCGAAAGTAACGTCATTTTTGCCTGACGGTAATCGTGAAACAAAATAGGCCTTGCGATGCCGTTAATAGGAGATGACAATTCGTCGATTCGTGAACTAACCTAAATTGAATCTGTAGGAAATTGATCTCAGGGCTAGCGTACCCTTTGGTCAAAGTAATGTGACACACACTAAAGGGATCTCGTATTCCTTACAACTAAAAAAATCTTCTAGATTTAATGATGTACAAATGACATGCAGAATTAGGGCGTAGGGTATGAATGTAGTTATCATGAAGGCATGTCACTTAGCTGAAAATAATACTATCTAAAAAGACGCATCGATGGCCTGGGTGCGAACCAGTGTCCCTTGGCTAGATCGTAACATCCGTGTTGCTTCATCAGCGCGGTCACAGGCTGCTCGTTACTTCGTAACGGTTTTCCGCGTCATCTTGCAAATCAAAACTTCTAATATGACTTCACAGTCGTATCAGATAGTATAACTTGAGCATTGCACTTGTTACGATTAAAGGTAACACATGTCCTACCATAAGCGCATTACAGAATCGATTATTTGTTACATTTTCAACACCGGACCTATAGTGGCTGCCGCTTATTGGTAAAGACCCCTTACCACGCGAATGCATACTTTTAACAGCTATGAGCTCCCGTGCGGAGGGAGGAACTTCTTCATCGTTTCCTTGTGCATGCTCTATACCACACATCTACAGGACAGTGCCTATTGTTACATTGTCCAATTTAAACGAACGACAGCAAGTTCAACGTTTCTCGATCTGAACCTGAGTCTAAGTCAGTTGCAGTTGTACTGGCGCACTTTCGTCCTACTTCCGTTACGCTCTTCGGCGCTTCGTAAATACCTTGCGGCAGGTTTTCCGGTATCCTGTTCTGCCTATTTAGCTGCCTTGTCTGAGTTATTCCGTAGGCCTAGTGTAGCTTTTCCATTGTTCTTGCCGTTTCTATTACATTGTTCCAGTTATTCTGTTACCATGCTTCGGTTGTTGGATTCTCTGATGTGAATGTTCCACTATTGTGGCTAGCCCGTCATCTCTCATCGCCAATGTCCGTTATTGCTTCTTCCAATTGTGATTAATACTTGCTCTTTTACCGTTGACCGTGCTGAAGTTACTTAATTATTCGATTGGGGTTACCTACATTATTTCAAAACATACTTGATCTCGATCAGGAATATCTCGTGTAAACCCCTGAAAAGCTAAGCAAAAAAAGCAGGTGAAGAAATCGATATTTCTCAATTATTCTCAAGCCGCCGAAAATTCCGAGACACATTTTTTTTTTTTGTTAAGAGTCTAATAAATGCGAGTGCGAAAATCTAGTCAACTTTTTTGGAATCGTACCTGTTTTTCTAAACACCTATAACATTTTGCCGGGAAAATCATTTAAAAAAATGATTATCGCTCAGTTTATGTTAAGGCTCATGAAAGCGCTCTTTAACTGATTTCAGCATATTTGCCTTTTTTTCGTCATAGTGTTTCGTTTTCTCACAAAGCCTATACATAAATAACCGCATTATATATACCGATGACGATCCCCCCTTGACAATTTGGTCCGACAGCAATACTTAAAACGCTAACTAGCCTCTCTTATTAATTCTCTACTAATAGATGCAACGAATTACTTAAACGCTCTGTTGTAAGGAAGATTACTGATGGTGCACATATTACTTTAGCTCAAATGGTAAGTTGAAGATTTAGCACGGTGTGTAACCTCTATCGTTAGCATGGTTTCCACTCCGGCTTCAGCCTCCCAATGAACCCTAACCGAAAAAAAAGAATCTCTCAGTGAAGATTATCAATATCAGCCTAAATCCATAAGTGAATAAAATGCATTAGACTATGATGAATCACAGGCATAAGCTTTAAGTTTAAAAAGCTGTTTAGGACGCTCTATTGAAGATCTACCAAACGGTTCAATTGGCTCCGGTGGTCGAAGTCATACAATAACCGAAGTCGTAAACGGTTAGATGTTTGTTAATATTTGACAACGTACTGAAGCGTTCGCCAAGTACATCAGGGCGCAAAATGAAAAATGCCCCTGCTTTTGACAAGCACAGACATAACGATAGTGGCGTATAGCTACTAGTTCAATTCCTAAAGTCGAAAATAGGAAATATAACAAACAGGTCATGAGAACATAAAGCCATTGTGTTAATTGTTATTAAATGAGACGATTTCAGATCATATCCACATCAGGTAATAGTAAGCAACGAAACTTTAATGGGTTGTAGCTTTACAAAACGACCGCTTAAAAGCTCTGTCCGATACCAAATACAATTTGATATGCTGTCTTTTAAAAGCAAACATTACCTAGAGAGCAATTTTGGCTAATATAAACAGATGGAGCCAGAAAAACATATCTTGACTGCGACTATGTAAGATGTCTCTGAGGCGAAGAACGGATATTTTTAAGGTGGGGTTCTAAATTAAGGGACTGCAAGCATGCGTCTATTCGCTGTTACGTACAACACAAAGAAGCCATATCTTTTCAGAGCAGAGACACAAATTCATTATGCGCCATTTTTAAAATTTTAGCGCAAACCGGCTATTATTTAATCCCTTTATACTGAGCAAAGCGTTAGTGAGACTACCTACATTTGAAATCGGCGACCCTCATTATTGCCAGTTTGGCTTGTCGGAAATCTGAGAAAAACTTCCATAAAGCAAACCGAAAGATTCTCAATTTTGATTGATCAAAAAAACACAAAAGAACACAAGGCTCATTTTTAACTACCAACGATTTTTCTACACAGAACTGAATGATCATTGCAGAAAAAGAATAGATTAGGTCTAACGGTTACTCCTTCCAGTACTGTTTAGTTCTGTCTGTGCTTTTCGAGCTTCATAAGATTTTTCCATCTTTTAAACTTTAAGGGACTTTTTCACACCTTCTGAGCTCTTTCACTCCCTGCATTTTTCAAAATTCTGACCCGTTATAAAACCAAAATTTTATTCCATTTAGTCTTTTACAATACGTTAAGCAATTTATATTATCGCTTGGCGCACGATTACTGTTAAAAATTGTTTGTGTTTGAAACTTTAACTACAGCGACAGGATAAACATATTCTTAAAGTATAAGCCTTCGTTTGGAGACAGTTCTAGAAGCAACGTATAAGTTCTAAACTTAAACGCCGCACTCTGTATACTAAAGTTGAGAAGCAAAATCGAGATAAGTAAACAGAATAATTCCAAGAAATATAACCAGACGCTCGTATTGCCTGGAAATTTTTCAGAAGAGACTGATCGGTGATCCCGGCGTACCGCCAAGTATTCCTCGAGCAACAAAGGCTGGTCCAAAGAAATGCAAAATCGGCAACATCGACGGGTTGATAGAAACCATTCATACAGAAGAGACCTTCCGGTCTTCGCTCAAATATTCGACTAATAGACGACGTATTCTTTAACACGACTACTGGACTGTTTGTCACCAAACGCCTAAGTTGCCTATTCATAATGGCTGAACGGCTGTAGATGATTATTGACGAAAATCCTAGGTATCTGCTGACTGACTGAGCCGTTTAAACTTGTTTGGTACCGACGCCACCATTAAGGATTATGTGGGGCGCCAACTTCGTGAAATGATGATTTGGTCATAGGCTTGCAAACAAACCTGAGTGTTCTGCGGAGATCCCTGTAGAGAACCCTAAGCTATTCAAAATGCACTTTGGATAAATTCGAGACTTACTGACACTAATTATACCATTGTAAAAAACATATCGATAACTATGTTTAATTATGTAGAACCACTTATCGCTATTTCAGACCGTCCTCCTCCGTATGGCCAGTAACTAGTTGCGCAGGACATGCGTGACA